TTTATTTCCGTAAATTAAAACTAACAATAGGTTTATACACTCTGAAGAAATTAGGTAAAGAGGAATAAATATGCTCCAATTTTTTTTTCAGAAGTATACTTCCCTCAGTTGTTAAAAACTGTAAATAGCTAAAAAATTTTTTTGACTCAAAAAAAAACAAAACAAAGGATTTGCAGCATTTTAAGAAAAAATAAAAAAATTTATTACTTTTTTCTGCTTTTAGTTCAGTTTATGCAGTAAACTCCTTTTCTGCTTGATATTAACATATTAGCTCTTCATGAAAGTCCTGAAAATTTTTCCTCTGTTCTAATGTTGCAGTCTCCAGAATTATCAGAAACCTGCACTTAAAAGCACCTGTCAAAATTCCATAGCTGACTATAAATAACCTCTTGAAGAGGATCGAATCAAGACAACAATTGTCCATGGGTGACAAGAAGTCTTATGACAGCTGTTATTTATTATTATTATTATTTTGAGATGTAATCTCGATTTGTTGACCTGGCTGGAGTGCAATGGCACGACCTCGGCTACTGCAACCTCTGTCTCCCAGGTTCAGGCAATTCTCTGGCCTCAGCCTACAGAGTAGCTGGAATTACAAGTGCCGGCTACCATGCCATGGTAATTTTGTGTGTGTATTTTTAGTAGAGCATACATGCATGATCTTGGCTCACTGCAGCCTCCACCCCCTGGGTTCAAGCAATTCTGAGTAGCTGGGATTATAAGAACCTGCCACCATGCCCAGCTAATTTTTGTATTTTTAGTAGAGACAGGTTTTGTTTTTTTCTTATTCTCTCTCTCTATGTATTATTATTATTTAGTAGAGATGGGGTTTCACCATGTTGGCCAGGCTAGTCTTGAACTTTTGACCTCGGGTGATCCAACTGCCTTGGCCTCCCACAGTGCTGAGATTACAAGCGTAAGCCACCATGCCCAGCTGGACAGCTATTATTAAAGCCACAATTGATTAGAAATTTTGTTTACTCCTGTGGGATATAACTATTTAACATAAAAATAGAAAAATTAGCTGTGTGTAGTGGTACATGCCTGTAATCCCAGCTACTCAAGAGGCTGAGGCAGAAGAATTGCTTTAACCCAGGAGATGGACGTTGCAGTGAGCCAAGATCAGACCACTGAACTTCAGCCTGGGCATTGGAGCTAGATTCCGTCTCAAAACAAAGATACAAAAACCTGGGCTTATAATCTCAGGCACTCGGGAGGCCGAGGCATGTGAATCACCTGAACTTGGTAGGAGGAGGTTGAAGTGAGCTAAGATCATGCCACTGCAATCCAGCCTGGGCAACAGAGTGAAATTTTGTCTTCATAATAATAATGATAATAATTTATGTTCTTAAAAATTATTAAAAAGGCAAAAACCTTTACTCATTGATAGCAGGTGCCTATAGTCCCAGCTACTGGGGTGGCTGAGGTGGGATAATTGCTTGATTTCAGGAGGGAGATAGTACAGTAAGCCAAAAAACCGCCATTGCACTCCAGCCTGGGTGACAGAGACTCTGTCTCAGAAAAAAAAAAAAAAAAAAAAAAAAAAAGGCAAGCCATCTATGGAAAACCCACAGCCAACATTACCCTAAATGGAAAAAAGTTTAAAGCATTTTTTCTGAGAACTGAAACAAGACAATAATGCTCATTCTCACCACTTCTATTCAACATAGTACTGGAAGTCTGCCTTAGCCAGAGCAAAGAAAAAAATAAGCAGCATCCAAATCAGGAAAGAGGAAGTCAAATTGCCACTGTTCGCTGATGATACACTTGTGTACCTAGGAAACCCTCAATATTCATCTAAAAAGCCTTTAGGGCTGGGTGCAGTGGCACAAGCCTGTAATCCCAGCACTTTTGGACGCTGAAGTTGGTGGATCACCTGAAGTCAGGAGTTCAAGACCAGCTTGGCCAACATAGTGAAATCCCATCTTTACTAAAAATACAAAAATTCGCCAGGCTTAGTGGTGGGTGCCTGTAATTCCAGCTACTCAGGAGGCTGAGGTAGGAGAATTGCTTGAACCCTAGAGAAGGAGGAAGCTCTGGCTGTAGCTACAGCCTCCTGGGCTCAAGCAATTCTCCTGCTTTAACCACTGAATAGCTGGTGCTACAGATACAGGTCAGCATGCTAAGCTAATTTTTGTAAACACAGGTTTTTGCCATGCTGCCAAGGCTGATCTTGAATTCCTGGGCTTAAATAGTCTTCATGTCTTGGTCTCTCAAAGTGCTGGAATTATAAACATGACCCACCATATCTGACCAGAATTTTTTTGTTATATGATATAAAAACTAAATATATTTAGATCTGTTAGTTAACAACAACAAAAATTGCAAAAAAATATATAAAATAACATAAAATGTTTTTTATCTAAAAATATCAACACAAAACAGTTCAAAATTACTTTGTGGGGATTTCACTAAAAATTTGGTTAAGGGTTAATGTAATTTATATACATATAATTAAAACTACTAGGTGTAATAAAAACGATTCTCCATAGAGAGTATATAAATAAACGCTGGGCGCCGTGGCTCATGCCTGTAATCCCAGCACTTTGGGAGGGCTGAGGTGGGTGGATCACTTTGACCTTAGAAGCTCCAGACCAGCCTGGGCAACATGGTGAAACCCTGTCTCTACTAAAAACAACAAAAATTAGCTGGGTATGGTGGTGGGTGCTGGTGCCCTGATACTCAAGAGGCTGAGGTTGGAGAATCACTTGGACCCGGGAAGCAGAGGTTACAGTGAGCTGAGATTGCGCCGCTGCACTCTAGCCTAGGTGACAGAGCGAGACTGTCTCAAAAACTAACAACAAAAAAGAGTGTATAAACAAATGCAAAATATGTTTTTGACAAAGAAAGTTAGAAACATTTTGTCTAGTTAAAAATAAATTAAAGGTTGGACCGGGCGCAGTGGCTCAGACCTGTAATCCCAGCAGTTTCGGCAGCCGATGTGGGTGGATTACCTGAGGACAGGAGTTGATAACCAGGCTGGCCAACATAGTGAGAGACTGTCTCTATTAAAAATGCAAAAATTAGCCGGACGCGGTGGCGTACGCCTGTAGTCCCAGCTACTTGGGAGGCTGAGGCAGGAGAATTGCTTGAAGTGGGGAGGCGAAGGTTGTAGTGAGCTGAGATCATGCCACTGCACTTCAGCCTGGGGGACAGAGCGAGACTCTATCTCAAAAAAAGAAAAAAAAGTCTTATCTGTTTCAAAAATTGTTTTAAAAAGTAGATTAAAATAAAATAGAAAAGTTAAAAAATTGTGAGATTATAAAATATATATGAAAATCTAGAGTGGTCAAAAAGGACAAATTTGATGGATTTATTTATAAGGTTGTTTTACTAAAATAAACTACCTTTAGTATTTTTTTCTTTTCCTTTTTTTTTTTTTTTCTTTTGAGACAATTTCACTCTTGTTGCCCAGGCTGGAATGCAATGGTGCGATCTTGGCTCACTGCAACCTCCGCCTCCTGGGTTCAAACGATTCTCCTGCCTCAGCCTCCCTAGTAGCTGGGATTACAGGGGCCCACCACAACGCCGAGTAGAAAGGGGGTTTTACCATGTCAACCAGGCTGGTCTTGAACTGACCTCAGGTGATCCACCCACCTGAGCCTCCTACACTGATGGGTTAAAGGCGTAAGCGACTACATCCGGCCTTTAGTATTGATAATACACTATTAGTAAAGTAAAAATTGATTTACTCTTAAGAAAAAAATTTACATAGTATTAATATGACAGTAAAACATGTTTGTTCACATTTCGAATGCGTTTAAAAAGAGAAAGCGTAAAAAAGAGAGAATTTTCCCGTGGTCTGGGGTGAGCCAGACTCAGCTCAGGGAGGAAGCCCTTCCTGAAAAGGCTGCAACCTAGGCTGTCACTTTTTCTTCATTCAGCCCAGCGTCTGATCATATCTTCTGTCACTCAGGGCTTGAAGTGGGGAGGGCTTAAACATTATCCAATCAGGGACTCTGGGCTGGAAACTGTCCAATCAGGCATGCAGCTGGAGCGGACAGGGCGGTTTCTGGGATGTGGCGGGGCTTTTGTCTCTTGCTGCTGCTGGAGCCCTGGGTCTCGTCTTCACTGGTCTTTGTTCTCTGCTCCTGGAGATCCATCCTCTGAGGCCCCGTGACCTGCGGTATGGGGAGATCCACAGCTAAGACTCCAGGACCCCCTGGCAGCCGAGAAATGGTGAGAGTGCCGGTCCCACATCCCGAGAGCGGGGAAGGGGCTGGCTGGAACCGGTGGGAAGTGGCTGTGGCGGACTCAGGTCTCACCGCAGTCAGCGCCACAATGTGTACCCCTAGTTAACTCCTTGCCCTCCTCAGCCTCAGTCCCCTTTAGCCATAAGATGGAGGCTGTGCTAACAACTGGCCCTGGGCGTTCTGTCTCTTCTCTGCACAGTGACTATATCCTGGCCTGGAGCCCGCTTTGGGCAGCTCTGCACCCGCAGCACCTCGTCCCGGTCAGATTGTGCAGGGACCACAGGAGGGTCATCAGGGAGAATCCTGACTCGGGGTGCGGGTTCAGGAATGCCAAGAGCTATGGTCCATGAGGTTCCCAGTTCCTGTTTTCTCCTGTTAAAAATTTATGAAAGTCGCCGCAGAAATATTAAAGAATTTAATCAAAGAGCGATTCTAAAATTGTAGAGCACTCAGCTATGGGTTGTAATTTATGGTCTATTGAAGGGGTTTGACTGAAAAAGTTTTATAAGGTGAATAATGGTGAAAACCAAATTCAATAATTGGGTACAGTTACGTAGTTTCTTAATTTGTACCATGAAGATGGAAATTTTTGGCTACGCAATCTAAAGTTAATTGGCAGTTTATAGTTTGTTAAGCCTGAATTTTTCCCCCAATGTAGTAATTTACAAAAAATTCCCTTGAATTGGATTTTTTTTTTTTTTTTTTTGAAATCTGTGCCTTTAATAGAAGAGCCGCTACTTGAGGGGGATGAAGCGGGAGGAGTGGGTGGCCCCAATATCCGGCCCGCGGTGTTTCACAGGCTCGTAGTTGATGGAGAACTCGCCCAGATAGTGGCCGATCATCTCTGGCTTGATTTCCACCTGGTTGAAGGTCTTGCCATTGTAAACGCCCACCATGCTGCCCACCAACTCGGGCAGGATAATCAAGTCGCGCAGGTGCGTTTTCACTTCCGGCTTCTCCTTGGGTGGTGCCTCCTTCTTGGCCTTGCGCAGGCGCTTCAGCAACTAGTGCTGCTTCCGCCGCAGGCCCGGGTTCAGCCGCGCCGCTGGCGCGCACTGTTAGCTGCATCAACTTCTCATAGGACGTGTCCAGCAGCTGATCCAGGTCCATGCAGCAGTAAGCGAACTTGTGGAAGGTCCGTTTTTTCTTCTGCTCTACTTCTGCCATCTTGCCGGATCCTCAGAGAAGACCGTTCTTGTCGGCATCTGTGCAGTTATCGTCTTTTTTTTTTGAGACGGAGTCTCACTCTGTCGCCCAGGCCGAAGTTCAATGGCGCCATCTCGGCTCCCTGCAGTCTCCGTCTCCCGGGTTTAAGCGATTCTCTTGCCTCAGCCTCTCAAGTAACTAAGATTGCAGGCATACGCCACCACTCTCGTCTAATTTTGTGTTTTTAATAGAAACGGGGTTTCACCATGTTGGTCAGGCTGGTCTCAAACTCCTGACCTCAGGTGATTTACCTACCTCGGCCTCCCAAAGTGCTGGGATTACTGGTGTAAGCTACCATGCCTAGTTAAATTAGATTTTTTTAAAGTTGAAATTAGGTACTAGAGCCTCCTCAGCCTAATTGCCAGCCACTTAATTTTTTCATACCCCACAGGGATTTGCTGTTTCCTGGCATTTTTCACATGTGTCCCAAGCAGGACCTCAAGTCTGTCTCTACCCTGTATTTCTCTAGCTTGACTCTGCCTTGCAGTAAAATACTTAATTTCCAGTTCCTTTTTACATTCCCATTCACCAATTTCCTCTCCCTAATTCACATTATCAAACGCTTTGTCCTTTAGTGTACATTCCCCCCCGCCCCCGCCACCACCCCAGACGGAGTTTCGCTCTTGTTACTCAGGCTGGAGTGCAATGGCATGATCTCAACTCACCGCAACCTCCGCCTCCTGGGTTCAGGCAATTCTCCCGCCTCAGCCTCCTGAGTAGCTGGGATTACAGGCACGCGCCACCATGCCCAGCTAATTTTTTGCATTTTTTTTTTTTTAGTAGAGACGGGGTTTCACCATGTTGACCAGGATGGTCTCTGTCTCTTGACGTCATGATCCACCCGCCTCGGCCTCCCAAAGTGCTGGGATTACAGACGTGAGCCACCGCGCCCGGCCTAGTGTACATTTTGATACCTATTTTAATTAATCATTTTTTAACAAAGCATTGGATGGCACATTTAAAAAGATTGGTTTTCTGTTTGTAAATATATATATATTTACAAACAAATATATATATTTCTATTTTCCCTAGACACAGCTATCTTATCAGAATGTTTTTGAGTCAAGGTTTCCCTTTGGAAAATTTATAGGGAGATGTGTCCTTAGCCACTCATCAGTTTTTTCTTGGACCTGGGATTCAGTACTGTCTGGGGAAAAACCAAGATTCTTCTCATGGCTTTGCTAGAGTTTCTATGAATATCAGCTCCTGGGTCATTTTCTCATATGAGACAACCCGAGGTATGTATGAAGTGTAGCCTCTCAAGAGAGCAGGTGAATGCCCTGGGACTGAGAGGCATCTCCTGGTGCGCTGTTTTTTTTTAAAGCTAACCCCTTGAGATATTAGTATTGTCTTTAACCAACCAAGCTTCCGTTTCTTGGAGACACGTTGCTGGTCAATCAGATGGTGGTATTGAGGGGGAAACCAAAATAAATTTTGCCCCTGGATTTTCTTAGGGGACAGAAAAATAGTGAAAGAAAAATAGTAAAAAAAAATTTGTAAAATAAGTAAATAAATAAAATACCACTCCAAAAACACAGGAAAACAGCAACAACAACAAAAAAAACTAACCCTAGCGAGATGGTGCAGGAACTTGCAAAGTAAAAGGTATCTGGGGCACTCACTGGGCTCACTGGGGCATAATTCAGAGTCCTGAGAAAGTTATTATTGAGCACTTAAGTGAACAAGATGGGGTGGGAGAATCTTTCAAGTAATTGAATGGCCTGACTTGACACAAGACAGACATACAGTTACCTTGAAATGATTTGTTCTCTTATTTTGACCTCAGGGTTTTTTTTTTGATGTTGTTTTAGACCGTGTTTTCCTCTCTCTCCCAGGTTGGAGTGCAGTGGTGCAATCTCGGCTCACTGCAACCTCTGTGTCCCGAGTTCAAGTGATTCTCATGCCTCAGCCTCCCCAGTAGCTGGAACAACAGGTGCCCACTACCACACAGGGCTACTTTTTGTATTTTTAGAAGAGATGGGGGTTCACCAGGCTGTTTGAGGCTCAAAATTCTGGCCTCAAGTACCAGAATTTCCTCTGTCACCCAGGTTGGAGTGCAGTAGCCTCCACAGTGCTGGGATTACAAGTGTGAGCCTTTGCCCAGCTGACCTCAGTTTTTAACTGTAAATTGTGTTTTATTATTAGGGCTTGAAAGGTAAGAAAATATTTATAAAGGACATAAAAAAGATGAATTTCAAAAAATAATATCTAATCATATATTTTATTTGTTGAAAATTCTCATTCACCTTTTTATGTCTCAAGAGTGAATTTAGGAGTTTTCTCAGGTATTTCTTTTTATGGCTGAGTGATTTCAAACAGATTTCTACCTGGCTTTTAGAGTGTTAGCTACTGAGGAAAAAAATAAGAAAAATTTTTCTTTCATTTTGGCTGTAGAGAATTAATATATTTCCACAAGAAAATGTGGTAGATAATTGGTGAGTTACATAGATTTGTGGAAACAGTTTCTTTTTTTGCAGGATAAATTTGCAAAAGTAAATATCTTTGTTCTATATCCTGTTATTTCAATTTCTGAGTTAAATGCCAAATTTCATGTAATGAAACTTGGTACCTCCTAGAAGTGTTCCCATATAACTAATTGTGTATCACACGATTTTTAATACAAAAAACAAAATAATGCTTTATTGTCCAAAAGAAATAAATACATTTGCTTCTCTTACTGAGGTACAAAATGTAAGTACCTTAAAATTCTCTTCTCTTACATGAACACTGTTCTTGAGTCATTTTGCTGAATTTTTCAAACACTTTGTTTCAAAAACTAAGTGAATGATTCTGACATGAAAATTAAATCTTGAGCCCAGTGACTCCAAGCTAAGGTTAATTTTCAGCCAGCTAAGGGATGTTATTAAAAACCCAGTTAGTTACTTCCGGAAAGCCTCCCCTGCAGATGTCCCAGCCTGCTCACCCCAGCCATGGAAGAAGCCTCTATACTGGGAGAAGCTACAGAGTCCTGGAAAGCTGGGGCCCCACAGGCAGATGCAGTTAAGTTTAAGATAGAAGGGGATTGGGAGTGTCTTATGAAGACAAAATTGTTACAGTTTTGAGGCAGCTTCTAGAGGTTTTAAAGTAAACCAGTTAGATATACCTAAAAGAAATTTGAATTTCAAAGGAGTATTGCAACAGGAGGAAGTACCAACTATAAGATCTTTAAGAATTGCAAAGATTAGGCAGAAGATGGCTTGGTTTCCTAGGAAAAAGCAAGCAAGATTAGAAAGAAGTGAGGGGAATGTTTAAATGAAGGGTGAAATAATCGGATTTTAGATCAGAGTGTTTTACCCTGAAGTCAGCATATTCTTAGGAGGGACATAAAATGGAGTTGTATGGTGGCTCAGACTGAGTAGCTCAGAGTTCCGGAGGCATTGGGATGAACATAAACTTAAGTGAAGTTTCATTAAAAAGTATTTTATGTTGATCACTGAAGACAAATGCAGCTGATTTTTTAGTGAGAAAAAGAAGAAAAATACGCAGAGTGTTTTTCTGGCTGTGTAATAGGTAAGAAAAGAGAGCACCATCCAAGTCATAATTAGAAGGGTGTTTCTTTTTATAGTGTTTTTGGAGACCACAGAGGATAGATAATTTTTTAATCACAGCTATTTATTATCTATGTGCTTCATCTCTTCCCACCTCTTTTCTTAGTTCTGTACTTTTCTTCCATTTGACTTTTGGGGATTGTATGTTTTATATAAAGCCAGTACATATAACTACAGTGTTCTGCTGATTTCTGTGAGTAGCTCTATCAGATAATTGAATTTCTTTTTTTTTTTTTTTTTCTTTTTTTGAGACGGAGTTTTGCTCTTGTTACCCAGACTGGAGTGCAATGGTGTGATCTCGGCTCACCGCAACCTCCGCCTTCTGGGTTCAAGCAATTCTCCTGCCTCAGCCTCCCAAGTAGCGGGGACTACAGGCGCACACCACCATGCCCGGCTAATTTTTGTATTTTTAGTAGAGACAACAAGGGTTTCACCTTGTTGACCAGGATGGTCTTGATCTCTTGACCTCGTGATCCACCCACCTTGTCCTCCCAAAGTGCTGGGATTATAGGCGTGAGCCACTGCGCCCAGCCCAGATAATTGAATTTCATAAAAGTTAAGGGAGTCCCCAATTTTTAAACGGTAGCTCAGAAGCATAGACGGGCCTATGGAGTTTGTGACTTGCATCTGCAGTGAGGAAAATGTTGTGGGACTGAGCCCTGAATCAGGATCTGTGCTGACTCTGGGTGGTGTCAGAATTCAAGTTTTAGACAGTAAGTTAGTGTTAGAGAATTGCTGGTGCTCATCAAACTCTGCAGATTTGGTGCCAAAAGAAAGATGTCAGACTCCTGGCATGGAATAAAACTCTGGGTGTCTGGGAATGGGAAGCTCTACTCTACACAGGCTGTCACACTCAGGCTGGATGGAGTGCAGTGGCACAAACTCACTGCAACCTCCACTCACTGCAACCTCCGCCTCCCAGGTTCAAGCGATTCTTCTGCCTCAGCCTCCTGAGTAGCTGGGACTACAAGTACATACCACCACATGCTGCTAACTTTTTGTATTTTTAGTAGAGACAGGGTTTCACTGTGTTAGCCAGGATTGTCTCAATCTCCTGATCTTGTGATTCACCTGCTTCGGTTTTCCAAAGTGCTGGGATTACAGGCATGAGCCACTGCACCCGGCCTCAAAGTTTCCCATGTTCTTTGATTTCAGGTCTCCTCTCAGGGTGACAGAGGACT